CCAAAATAGGGGTAAATGTTCCAATTTCCACTATTGTTTTCGCAGTGTTATCCTGACTTGCTGGTTGCGATTGCACGTTTAACATAGAAAGACGAGTTTCGTGTCGCCACCTAAGTAACATGCTTGTATACAGTGCTTTATCTAATGCAACGACATCGTTAAAATGGTTATGTCGTATAAGATAAACTTTATCGTTTTTGAGAACAATCCAAACATGTGGTGCTGGTGACCACGACTGTAATAAAACGTTTTGATTGGTTTGTTGATCGTTATTTCTTTGTAATATAGTATTTATTATATTCGCAGTTGATGTTGTATAAAACGATCCCCACCCACGAATTCTTATATTTTCCATTACCGCCAAATGTAATCTTTCACATATGTCGTTTGCCGATTCCATTTTTCCAGAAACAATCGCTGCCGGTATTAGCTCATCGTAGCGAAATTTATTAGACGTCTTTAAATATAACGGACCAAATGGTGCGTTATCGTAATCTAAAAATTTATCGTATACGATAGATAGCACAGGACCTAAAGAGAATTTGATATTTCCCGTAGGGGGCATCGAGGTATAACCTCCGTATTTAGCCACGATATTCTTCCATACGGAGACTGTTGTCACTATCCTTTTTACGCGACTACCCATATGCGTTTTTAAAGGAGTACAAACATTGGTTTCGACATCAGAAGAGTATTGTCGACATCCAAATAAAGGCCATCCCACTGTATTGTCTCTAGCTGAAGGTGGATTCGTTAATTCTTTAACTATACCATCGGCACTGTAAATTTTGTTGTTATTCGTAATTGTCTCCAAGACGAAATCTAACCAATCGTAACGCTCGCATGCACGAAGGACGCTTGGCGATCGGCGACGCATGCATTGTGTAATGTGTAAACATCGCTCTGGTGGCCTAATACTCAATGTATCTACAGTACTAAACATATAAAAGATGCGACATGCTGTAATTATTTCGATAGTGAGCTCTATAGGCTTATTCAATGCAAGCATAAAAACTGCGTTCCAGTCCACATTTCTACACTTGCTTACACTTATAAGATCTCTTGGATTTATTAAAAGTAAATTATTTAATGCGTTTAATGGACCCAAATCTTGTTGTAGCTCGATCGTAGAAGCATTATTTTTTGCAAAAACGTATTTAAAACTTGAATTCGTACCAGTATCCCATGTTATTTTGAAATCTGTATTGATTTGTAACTGCCCTTGCAAGCTTAAAAAAGCATTTGTATCCGAATATAAAAATGTCAGCCAGACATTTGCTATGTTTCTAAAGGCCAATAATATTGGATTGATATCAATAGAATAGTCATTTATACATTCGAAATCAGATTGCACCATTGTGGGGACGTAAGTCAATATGGGTGTCTTAACTAAAGGGGCCAAGTACTGTATCACGTTGATACAAGACAAATTGTAATCTGGTATTGGTATACGATCTACGTCAAGATCATTTTTAGGTAAGTATTTAATTTTTAAAAGAGTCATTATTTTAAAGTATGCGATTGGACCGTATAACATGCACACCGCGTCGTGGATCATGGTAGGGCATTCGTCTAGTAAAATATCAGTCCAGAGTTTCAATTCACTTTTTCGTAGCGTTTTAAAATTTGATGCCCTGAGTAAATCTAAAATACATGCACCCCAATTGTGTTCCGGTCTGCATGTATACATTGGCGTGTCGTCATAAAGACTTCTAATGCCATGACAAATATATTCCGCAGTGTCTATGATATCGTGGATTAATGGGTGTTTAAGAGAAGAAATTTTATACCATAAAAGACTATTCGTCTCTCGTTCATCTGCATCTATAATACGAGTCGCATTCGTGACCGCAAATGCATCAGTCTTTTCAACTACCATTCCACTTAATAAACGATATATGTGATCGAGTGTACAAAGATATCTACCTCGTTGTTGTGTTTGCGACAAATCAATTGCGTACACATATCCACCAGCTGTGTTGTTTGTAAGCCAAGAATTATTTTCCGACACGGTGACGACATTTCCGTCGATGTCAACTTCATGTTTTAAGTTGCAATTATTTGGATCGTATCTCGTTTCTCGTATAACGAAACCAAAAAAGGTCACGTTTTCCAAGACGTTACTTTTAAAACTCGGATATTTTATGGGTATTGGGGCTGTTGTGGTCTGAGCTGTAAATTGCCTTGCGGCGTTATCCGCCGACAATTTACATCTTTCGAAATGAACCAGAGGTGTGATATTAACGCTCACGTTACCAGGTGGTATATTTAAGGTAAACATTTTTATTTAATCTAAGGAATGCAATATCGTCGTCTTTTTCGTCTATTCGTGTCCGGTATCCTAGTTCTCTTTTCAGATAAGGCATGCGACACATTCTTCACGAAAGATTCATAAACATTGTTAACTTGAATTAAGGACATAGTAGGAATGCGATTCGTTGTGAGTATGTTTGTTACATATTGGTGTAATTTTTTAAATGTATCTACTTCTGATATTTCGGACATATCGATAGCATTACCTTTATATTCGTATCCGAGTAAATTGGATATAAAAGTACTCGCACGATGTCCGTTGTACGTGTACATTAGACATCCATTGATGGAAAGAATTATATGCATGAGATCCACAATGTGAGGATTCACAACTTTATAATTTAAAATTGCCTTGTTATTTAATACGTGACGCATTTTTTCAAAATTCTGTCGCATATTCTCAACACTGTAAGAATACTCATCTGGTAATTTCAAAATTGGTTTATCTTTAATCAATTTGTAACTAACGTTGACAGGTTCATCCGTTAAATGTAATGAATGAAGCGTAAACACGTCTGATGTCTTTTCAAAACTACACGCATAACCTGTGCGAATATTAAATTTAGAATAATCACTCGATTGAATTGCAGCTGTCATTTTACTTAAAACCCCATCTCGCTCAATGTTTGTTAGGTATTCTGTAAAGTACATGTAAAAAACTGCCATTTGAATATGCATTGGAATAACTTGTGATTGTTCTAAAGTACCAACATGTTCTTTCATAACCTCAGGTAACGTGTTTAAGACATCACGTATACGTTTATGCAAGTTTCTACCGTAATAGCTCCACAATGTATCACTAATAAAAGTATCGTAAATTCTAATAAAGTCGAGATCGTAATATGGCCATGTATGTTCTACTGTTCCTTCTAATTCATTTGACACAGTAGTGGGAAGCGTGAATTTCCACCAATTGACTGCCCCCTTTACAATTTTGTTAGGCGTACCTAAATATCCTTTGTTATATGCATTCAAAACGAAATCGAACCAATCGTAAGATAAACACGCATGTACAACCTTTATAGAACTAAATCTCATTAAAAAGTTAATGTGAGTACCTTTGGTATACTGCGTTGTATCACTATTAGGATTGTATACGTATCGCGTTCTAAAACACGTCATAATTATAAGAAGTAACATTGACCTAAATGAACTATAGTTTTGAAAAGTGGCTTCCATTTTTTTTGCTTCAATAGATTTATTTAATGATGCTATTAAAATGACATTCCATGATGGGTCGATACGCATATCATTAAAATCGGCTGTTAATAATATGTTCAAAATTTCTAACGGACTCGAATATGTAGCTAAAACATTTCTATTAGTTTTTGAACATAACATAAAGGAAACATTACGCGGTTTGTCTACCCACTCACCACAACTGTATGTTGTATAAACATCCTTTGGTGTATCTGAAACTTGTGCAAGAATATCAGAAAAAAAGTCCACACCATGGTCATTCGCCTTCGGTTTATCGGATACACCAGATTGTAACAACATTGTTTCGTGTGGTGTGTAGAAGTAATGTAGCCAGTCATCCGTTGCAGCCGAAAAGGCTTTAAATCCTTTTTCCAAATCCAATCTTTCTATAATACTTTGCAAAAACTTAGACTCAACGCTTTTCAACAATGCACAACGAGCGTCTGTATTTAGAGGAGCAGCCTTTAAAGCTTCGGATTCGGTAAAAAACGGATGTACGTGGCTATATACGACAGATTTGCTAAAATGATTTCCATTTGACTTATATCCAGTTACAATCGCTGACCCCTCTGTATACATCTCTGGGTAATCTTTGATCAATAGGAATGAAAGGTGATCTATTGCTTGCATAGTCATACTATATATTTGTGGCGTAAATAACAAACACAATGCAGTTTGAATCATTTGGCAATGCCGCCTTTTATCAGCAATCGACCAAAGGAATGAATGTGTATTAAAAGAAGTTTTCTCACCCCACAATTCAGCGTAATGTACCTCTTTAAAACACCTACCCTTGGAATCGATTTCATCGCAAGCTTCATCTACGACGTACGCCATTGCTACACCAAACATATATGCTTCATAATCATCTACGTAAGATTGCATATTTGTATAAAGCGATTTCTTTCTATTGAAATATTCACTACCAACTACGTTAGAATAATATAAATTCTGTCGCATTCGAGGTACACCGTTGTTAATTATGTGCTGCCAATACAGCCCATTCGAAATTGCGTAACTTAGTGGCCTCGTTCCGGTAGCACTACTCGTAGAAAATGGATTTCGGCCATTCACATCTATACCATGACATATGCAATACAGATAATCCAAAGTACATAAATATTTCCCACTGTCACCATCAATAACGTAAACATAGCCACCTTCTGTCGATCCATTTGCATCGTCTGCAATGTGAATCGGTTTATACTCTGTCACGTTAAAATATGCATTTTCGAGTGTAACGTTTTCTGCAAGCAAATCACCAACGTGAACAATACATTTCAAATCGTGAACTAATTTTGTTATTTTCAAAGGCTTCCCATGTAAAACGAAACTCAGTTTGTCAACTTTAAAAGGAGTATCTATGTGTATTACCCTCGATTGGCCAAATATTTGAATTACTTTAGTAGCTGAAATGGAAGTACCGTTTTCGAATTTTAAAAGACAATCTATATTAATATCGTTAATCAAAATTGTCATTATGGCATATGCTATTTTGTAATCACAAAATATATTTTGTATTCGCAGTTCTTTATAGAAAAGAAAACTATTTTGAATTTCACAAATTCATGTTTTTTCTGTTTTAATAATTTATAGATTAGCATAACGTTTCTAATATCTATCACATACTATCAATGACAAAAAATCTTATACAGACACGAAAACACGATATATGATGACAATTTTTTTTATTCAAACTTTAATTGCCTTAGAAGGTTGGGTAAAGTACAATTTATTATTCAATATGGCTTGAAGAGTACATACCGCATGAGATCGCATTTTGTAATCGATATTGACACCCATCTTGTACTGGCTCGTTTTGTTATTTCTTACATAAATGTAATGCATCCGTGTACATGCAACTATAATAGTTTTAAACAACATGGTTCGATAATGAACAATTGCGTAATTAAACACGGAATTCCAAATGTGACTCTTCTTTACGTTTTCGAACTTCTCGAACAACAAATCATTCAAAGGTTCCACTGGATCGTTATATTTTGTAATGACCTCTTTTTGAGCATGTCTACATAGAAGTAACATCGCATTTTTGGGACTTTCGTCCCATTCGTCACACTCGTGTGTTACATGGAGATATAGGTGGTCACCATTGATTCGAATTACAGGTTGGGTATTAACTCCACGTTTTGAAAACACATCGCTGGATGGTGTGTACAAATAGTGCAATAAATCGTCGGCAAGTGTGGTAAAAACGCGTTTAGCTATTTTGAGAGAAATGGGTCCCTTCGGGTTATTCATCATTTTCCCCTCTACATCCGAATTCAAGTAAGCGATTGCCTTCTTCGATGTTCGCAATTCCCTACCGTTCGTAACATGCGAAGGTTCAGTAACGAAAGAATTTATTTTTGTAGCAAATGGGTAAATGCGTGGATAAAGTACCGTTTTCTCTACGTCGTTAAAAACAAATATTTCGTTCTCTTCGTCGCTCGGCCCAGATGGTAGTTTGTAGTCTTCTATTTTTTGCATCACTTCGTTATATACAGAAGGAGTGAAGTAAAGACACATTGCGTTTTGAATGATATCGTTATTTAATTGTCGGCGAGTTATGCACCATAAGGTGTAATGAGCATTAATTGAAGTATTTTCCGACCCAAATAATTTAAAATATTCATTTTCACAATTACAGCGACCGGCACCGTCAAGTAGATCGAAGGCTTCGTCAATCACATACGCCAAGGCGACTCCAAAATCATATGCATAATTGCAAGGTATGTACTTTCCAACGCTAAAATATAACGAATCTTTATATTCTGCGTAACGATTACCTACTTGGTCCGAATAATATAATGTACTGTCAATCTTTTCACTCGTTATTAATTTTTGCCAATATAAACCATTAGAAATAGCACGACTTACAGGTCGCTTGCCAGTTACCTGGGAAATGGAAAATGGATTACGCTCTTCCATATCACCTATATTATTATACAAACAATATAAATAGTCTAAAGTACACAGATATCGCCCACTTTGACCATCGATGACATATACGTATCCACCTTGCACAACTCCACTTGTATCAGGAGAAATCTGGACTATGGCATCGCCATCCATTTCATACACATCGTTCTCCAAACGGAAGTCTTTTTCTGTCAATTCGCCAATATGTACGGGAGTATCGTCGTTCTTCCATATGCGCAAAGGTTCGGCATGTAATACAAATCGATAACTTTCGGCCTCAAATGGATTCGATATTGCCAATACCGAAACGAAATTCTTCGAGAGAGTTAATTTATTATCTTCGTTAAATAAATCACAAATATATTGTGTATCTGGACATTGATTGCGTTCGTAAAGTAAAAGCGAAGTTATGTTAACTGTACACGTATCGGCAAAGTGGATGTACATCTTTGTTGTGTATTAATATATATCGATATTAGACCTAGAATGCATGTAATTTTCAGATATACAGTTTTTATTACTTATAGTAAACAAATAAGAATGGAAAAGGTGGCGACTTTGGATGTTTATTGTAATTTCCATCACAGAGGAGTTTGGGAGGAGCCGAATCGCGATTGGACGACGAGCGCGATTCCCTTTCTCATTTTTTTGAAATAGATAAATGACAAAAAATAACCAGTGTGTATAAATGGACCTTACCACCACCTGCAACAACACTCTTCTATTTCTTATCAAAGCGAACAGTTGCCTTCTTTTCAAACATGCCGAGACGTATGAAAGTTGCTTTAAGAAGATCGCCTAGAAACGTATCCCATATTCATAAACTTCCGCCAGAGATTTGGGAAAAAATTTTAAAGTATTTAGACTATAAATCAAAGTTTAAGGCTTTACGTGTATGCAAATTATGGAACGAGCTTTTGGAAAATAGTCCTCGCATTTTTTGGCATAACGAAATAGCATCCGTCTATCATCTTGCCGATATAAATACTTACTCCATCGCGAAAAAAGAATTTAAAGGTTTAAATATACATACCAATAGCTGTGTAGGTGTTTGCCAATTGTTTGTGCACAAACACCCTCGTGTAAAACTTTTAAGTTTCCAGAATTGTAATAGACTAAACGACTATGTTATATCGAGAGCTATAGATTGTTTATCAGGAACTTTAATTAGTCTAAGTTTGCATAACTGTAAATTTGTAACTGATATTACTTTACTAAACATTGCATTATTTCTTCCAAAGTTAGAATTACTAGACCTGAGTGGTTGTAATAATCTTACAAACGAAGGATTAAAACACTTGGCTGCCATTGATCCAGCACTTAATAGAAATCGATTTCATAAACTGCGAATTCTACACATTGACAATATTGTGACAGTACGAGATGATGTTATTTCAAATATCTTGAGGACCATGCTTCCTTTGGAAATATTGACTTTCAGTAATTGTAAATCTATCACTAGAACTGTTCTCTTCTATATCGCATTTTATTACAGAAATTTGATCTATTTAGATATGTCTGGGTCTTTAAGAGTTGTTGCAGATGATTTATACTATATTTTACGTCCTGCAGATAGATTTCGGGATTTGGTGATTAGATATACAAGCAAAGCCGACAGAAAAGAACATTTATTCCAATTCTGAAAACGGAAACATCAACCGACTACACGGCCTACCCAACTCTCAAGCCAAGCGATGTCTACCATTTCTTCGTTGCCAAACGAAATACTCGTTACGATATTTCATTTCCTTACACAAGAGGAAAAAGCTGTTGTGGCAACGGTGTGTAAAAAATGGTATTGTGTCGTCGACTTACCTGTGCTCTGGCAAAGGAACAGTGTCGCATACATTGGAGACTACAATGCAACATGCTTCGAGACCATCGTTCGAAGAAAAGTATCCAAAGTCCACCTGTGCAATGGATTCGACTACCGGATGATTCCATTCAACATCGTTGACATCGACTGTGGAAGACGCTACTCTACTGTCGTGACATTGTTACAGTGTAAGAAGAATGTACTACGAACTCTGAAGTGTTTAAACGTGTCTGGTTGTTTTGATTTAACCGACATGGATTTGGAAAAAATTGTTCTCATCGCCCCAAACATTACTAATTTGAATGTGGAACAGTGTGTACGTTTATCGGATGCAGCTATGCGCAGAATTGCGTATTACTTGACTGTGACATCTTTGAATGTTAATCAATGTGTGAACATTACTATGGACGGCATGCAATTTTTCTTAAACAATGGAAAGTCGCATCTCATTTCCAAATTATGCATGAGTCAAATGTGGAATGTTGATTTTCACCAGCTTGTATTGTTAATTCACAAGTGCAAATTCTTAAAAGAGATTGAAATGTCATTTTGTTACAAATGGAATTGTCAGTTGTTTCAGCAAATAGTAGACGCTCTTTGCTATTTAGAAAGTTTTGTAATTAATATCAATCTCATATTTGAAGAGAATGTATTGATTGCATATATTCAGGATTATAGAAAATATCTTTGTAAGAAAGGTAGAGGACAGAGTCGCACATTAGTTTTCCGTATTATGTACTATTCAAATAATGGAAAAACACTCGCACTTTGATCACAAAAATAAAAAAATTCGCTTGACCAACTGACCACGCCTCCATTTATGTTAAACACATTCACCCTCACCCCATCTCTTTCCTTCATTGGAATAATGTACTATTGCACTTTGATCAAGAAAAAATATAAAAAAATTCGCTTGACCAACTGACCACGCCTCCATTTATGTTAAACATTCACACCCTCCCCCACAACACCACCCACATCCCTCTCTCACTCCTTCATTAGGACGCAGGCGCTATTTTTTCCGAAACCCCTCAGTCGTCCAACTGGAATACCATGGAGCGTTTGCCAACAGAAATTGTGGTTCACATTTTCTCGTTTTTAACAACGTTTGAGAAATATCTCGTGTCTAAGGTCTGTAGCTCTTGGTCCGATATCGTCATCTGCAAATGTCTTTGGACAAAGGCTGTGGCCTGTGTCGGTGAATACGACTCCAATTTCAAAAGATGGATCGTTCTACGAGACGTTCGACGTTTACATCTCACCGAAGACTTCGACTTCAGAATGTTTCGGCCCAAAACGGAATACGTAAAGTGTGCAACTTACGAACGCTTACGTCCACTTCTACAATCTAGAACACAAACGACGAAGGTGAGAAGTTTATGCATCGACGATTGCTCACAAATGAAAAACGTGGATATGGAATATCTAGTGCATAAAATGTCACAACTTGAAAAATTGACTCTAATGTTTGCATCTCGAGTGTCGTCTATTGCAATGTATTCTATCGTAAAGGGTCTTAAAAAATTGAGAATACTTCAACTCGATCACGTACGTTTTACCGAAGCTGACATTGAAATCATTTTGAAAAGTGACATGGCTCATCGTTTGACGAAACTCACACTGCGAAATCTTTGGCTAACACGTCAACATCTCTATGCAAACGTTTTACGGAAGTGTAAACGGCTGGTCAAGTTGGAATTAGACTATTCACGTGAATTAACGATTACACACTTTAACAACATGATGACGAATCTAGGTCCATATATGACGTATATTTGTTTTTACGTGAAAAACTTTGAGAAAGATTCTATACGCATAAAATCCTTAATGTATTGTTATTTTCTCTCGACGAATGGACAGCCCCGTAAAGTTTATATTTTTATAAAACGTGGAAACTTGACGAAATGTGTGAGATGGAAGAATGTATGTGTTCAAATGGAGAGTGGGGTTTGGTGAGGGTAGTTTGTTATGTTTATAAAGTGGAAAAACAATGTGAGGGAGAGGGTATCGCCTATATAAGAGATCCCACCACCACACCAGTAACGGATGAGAAACAAGATGGACCCATGGATGCACAGTTGGCATTTGTGGACAAATCGTAGACTAAGATCCTTGCCAAATCCAAGACTGTCCGAGGAATATGAAAAGTCTACTAGCATACCAACCGTCGCAGTTTTAACAAGTGAATTGCGACGTATGACGAATGCACTGGACACTGTGCCTGTGGACGTATTTACAACGTGCAACAAGTCAACGGCCAACAACTTCTGCTGGCTTTCGGAAAACACAAGTATCTTCAATTCTCTGTTATTGCATATTAATCTGGAACTCGAAGAACATCGACCGCATGCTTTTGGATTGTACAACATGGATATCTCCATTGGTATGGACGATTGCGGTGTTTTACTAGCGTGCCTTGCGATGCATCTGCTACTTCGTATTCATCATTGTATCGAATCGATTGAGCTAAGCAAAAATGTACTTGTACACGCTTATACAAAGATAATTTGTGATGGGATTTCTTTGAGTCGTGGACTTCGTAATATGCATATATGTATAGATTTGGATTTAAATGCATTCGTAAATATGCGTATCCAATTGTTAAAAGCCCTTTGCCTTTGCAACTCGAAATTTGAAACATTGCATTTCTTTCAACTAAACGTTCCTTCAAATCTGCAAATGCAATTCGTCCAAATGTTGCAGCGTCAGCCATTGAAGTCGTTAGATATAATTAGCAGTGATTTGTCGGAAAATAGTGTCGTAGAATTAATGAATGTTTTGTGTGAAAAGAAGGAACTCGTTTCTTTAAAATACAATTCAAACATTCTTAACAAAGTATCTGCTGATAAATTTGGAAAATTTTTAATAAGCGAACATTGTCAACTTCGAGAAATCCTTTTTATCAAAGTAGAAGAAACACATTTGAACGATATGATTAGCATATTTCGGAATATTGGAAACAACCGTACTATTAAGAAATTAGGGGTACTCTTCTGCGATTTAGATACGAGTGCACACCTTACTTTAATAAAGAGTTTATTTAATAATGAAAGCATCGTTACTCTTACCTTCGGAGACATGGAGATTTCACGAAGTGTATTTAAACAGATTGCAAAGTTATTGAAGATAAATAGGTTTCTCGAGGTTCTTGAAATCAATTGCATGTTTCTGAATTTAAGTTCGGCCATCTCACTTTCAGAATCATTAAAACGTAACAAAAGTTTTCGTAGGTTAGGATTTGGTTTCACCAGTATAGAAGCCGATGGTATCGTATGTATGATTGAGACTCTCACTACAAATAAGACTCTAAATAAATTGTCCTTTAATATAGATCCTATGACCGAAAGTATACAAAGAGCCTTATGCGACGCACAAGCATATTCTCGTGTATGTTTAGTTTCGTACGAGACGCAAGAGTTGTTTGCATATTCGCAATATATTACAAATAATATAAATACTATTACAAGTGTGTGTGTGTCGTCCATGATATGTACTGACGATTGTATTGCTGCATTGTTTAGATCTCTACAAAATGCACCATTTTTAAAAGATTTGTGTGTTAAGACATTTTCTCACATTGACCTAAATATGTCTGCCGAAGCCATACCTACAATTTTACGAAATAGTTCAAGTTTAAAAAGTGTTAATTTGTGCTTTAATTTCCGAATCGAATTCATAATTCCAATAATGAATGGTCTAGAAAAAAGCAAAAGTATAAAAAATTTTAATATGCCATATATCTTGCAATCGGAAGACACTCTGCAATCTTTAATAAACATCGTAAATAATAACACTGTTTTAAATAAATTTTCCAGTATAATGGTTGCTGATGCGTGTCCAGATATTGGCCATTTATTAGATGCGATAGAGAATAATACGACTCTCTTAAAAATGGATGTATTTGGTATAGGTTTGACGCATGTGGATAGTTTTGACTCTGTTTTTCGCATAAGAGAAGCAATGAGAAGAAATCTATCATTGCGTTATCGTGTAATGGAATTTCTCATGGATTCACCAGCGTTTGTCACATACGACGCGGTAGTTCTTTACAAAAAAATAAGGTATAGCGATTCTTTTGTCAAATTTGCGAATAAAATAATTACAAATAACAGTTTTTCTCATATGCAAAATCGAGCAAACAATTATCTAATGTATAATTTTTTTAAACTTGCAAATATTTGTATAAAAATTGTGTGTTATTCTCTATTAGAATCTCGTGTTGTACAGATCGACAGTCTGAATCATGATTGTTTATTTAAAATTATTTCTTATCTTAAATTGTCCGATATTAAAAAGTGCTGACCATAATAAAATAAAAATATGTAATCGCACAAACCATCTCGTTTCTGTGCAAAATCATTTATTCGTATCGCGTCACATCACAGGTAAGTCATTTCATTTTTGTTTTCCTTATACAATTTCAAAGCTTGATGGTCTTCACTGAACCATCTGGACGAACGGTCTGTATTCTCGTAGTCTTGTTTCTAAAGCGTCTCGGCGTCACTTGAAAACAGTTGAACAACATTTGTTCCACTGTCATTATTTGTCTGAGACTGACGACTTTGATTCGCAGAGTTTTTAGATGCTTTCCATGGGTGAGTATCGTTTTTAACGCCGTAAATGTAAAGCCACGGGTCAATTCAAGTTCCAAAGTTTTTAAAAATCTACAACGCCTAAGGAGCTGTTCGTACAACTCGTGATCGAACTCGTTGAGACGCGAGATCGATAGGAACCTGAGTTGGGTTACAAAGTCACTCAAGAAGAGTTCCCTCACTTCAGCGAGATGCATCCAATGTGTCTCAATTGTGAGATATCTGATGGTCTTCTGCGCCATGATGAATTGGAAGGTCTTGGGTGAGATGATTTCTGCATTAAGCAATGTCAGAGTCACTAGTCGTGGAAACTTCTTGAACACTTGTTCTAACTTGTAGCTGATGATGTAGGGGTCGTTGAGGATCAATGTATGCACTTCACTCAAGTCCACGTCTGAGCTCGTCATCAAAGCGTTCAAACTCCTAATATGGGTACACAGGATTCGACGCACCTTTGGTGGGAGCATCTCAGTGTCGAAGTCTTGGCCAATTTTGACGCTGGTAATTCCACGGCGACAAATGGAATCCTTCACGACGGCGTTGAAGGGTCCAATCTTGGCGAAATCCAATTTCCAGAGTTGATTGTTGTCCAGGATCGATGCCCACCGTTTACACACGCGAACCATAGTAACCTTATCCTTGGTAGGAAGGTAGGAGAAAATGAGAGTTAGAATCTCGTTGGGGATCTCTGCGAACATTGCGAACGAGCAGTTGTGGACTCACTGGTTATGATGTCTAACGGTCAGTAATATTTATGACCAATCCTCCTTTCACACCTCCTACACCACCCCTTCCACAGCTTACTGACATCCAGCGATGTCTACCTCATCCCCCCCAACACCTCCTCTCTCTCTTACATATACCCCTTTCCTACTTTGCATAAAGAGAGATAAGATAAAAAGCGAGGGGCATTAACCTTATCTGTTTTTACATACCCTCATCCATATGCACAGTATCTATCTATCTATTTATTATTTTTCATTTCTTTTACATCGCTCCGGTTAGAATCAGCTTTAGATAGCGTCACATCCAGACGGACCTCAAAAAGTAAAAGGAGGAGGAGATTATCACGTGACTAGGTTACGTCACTTCGTTCTACTCCCCCCAATCCCTTGCACAAACAACCCTTGTTTTCAATCATATTTGACGGCAGAATCGAACATTCTTCATATTTGACAGCACAATTGCACATTGTAGATGAGTCAACACCAAAAGTAAAAATAAACAGATTAATTGTGTAAAGATTTTTTTTATTCCTTCATATCCGGGTCAACAGATTTCGGTGGTTGAGGCAACTGTGGAACCATTTCTGTAACTTTGCATGTCGATAGCAGATTGTCACCATTTCCACTGTAAAACACTTCATCGTATTGTTCACTGTCAAAACCTCTAAATGCATTAGAAAGGTCTTCGAATTCGCTGTACAAGTCCCCATAAGCACAATGGCTTGGGCACCATTCGTATTTTTTATCATCACTGGTAGCCCTACCGCTGTACACTGAGCATTGGCGTTCGGACGTTCTGTCCTCGATTGAGGATTCACTACCGTAAACACGATAGTTTGGATTCACCACACACACTTGCCTGTCTTGAAGACGGTACCCATGATTCGTCGTACACTTTTCTCCATTCGTGATGTCGACTTGACCACCACCACCACCACCACCACCGCCGCAAATATCGTAACCTGGATTCACCACACATTTGTCGTTCTCTATATCTACGACGTCGTCCAACATGTCGTCCGTAGAAATAGAAGTCATTTGGCTGCGTTGGGTGTTCACCAGGTTTTTCAGATAGGCTTCCATGTCCGCAAGAGTACGGTCTTCTTGTGGTAGAGTCAATTGTAGTGGGTCGTCTTGTATGCTGCGTTCAAGCTCTAAGAGCTTTTGAAGGGATTCGTTCAGAGCAACGAGACTCTCGTCAGTAAATAGATCACGAGACATCTTAGAGGTGCGTCTTTGTTGTGGGTGGAGATGCGTTATATAGGAAATGAGAGTGAGTGGTGGTGGGGAGTGGGAGAGAGTCAATGTGTACGTTTTTTCAGCCAATGGAAAGAATATTTTTGGATTTCGCAAAATTTGAGAGTGTATATTGTGAAACACAATAACAAACTTTCCTTCCTCCGTTTCCTTTCTCCAATATTATTCTATATAAAGACTAGAACGCACACCACATCCATTATACTTAAATGGCGTCGCTGATCACTCTGGTACAGTACGAGACGATGGACTTCGAACTGAGTCAATATGTCAGAAGAGACATAGCATTCTGTAGTGGTTCGCGTGAAATGCCAGATGGTAGTTATTTCCGCTGCTACGACAACTTCATACCATACAAGTATGCCAAAGAAGTATTTCATCACATACAAGACAACCGACGCTGCACGTATCACCGATACACAGCTTGGGATCAAATCACCTCGATCTTCGCCGAAAACGCCAATCTGCCACATGTTCCAATCCCCAAGTCTCCACACTCCGAAACTATACACAATGCTATGAAAACTTGTCTTCAAAATCCTGAATATACGCACATCATATTGGATTCACCGCTCTTTATAAAATATTTACAAGAGCACGTCATACGACTCGACATACACCTCAAAGGTCTTCTAGACGACAACATGCTCATTGCAATTCTAAGTAAATTGCCTCAACTTGTGACTTTGCATATTCACTACGGATCATTGTTAAGCAGTGCTATTTTAAAAATCATTGCAGAAATGCATCCACAACTTCGCCATCTGTGTATATACGAGTACGAAAATGTCACCGACAGTGCTTTCGAAGAAATACAACTGGGACTTGTCACTCTGTGTATCGTTAGCTCTGTATATATTGATGAAGATGTTTATGAATCTAGACTGATTAAAATGCCCAACTTGATGTGTGCTTCATGTAATGTGAAGTAAAAATAATAAAACAATTGTACACAAAGACCGTGTTTTTTTTCTTATTTATTTTGAAAAAAAATATATGTTAGTAGTAGGATTCGAACCCACGTCTTCAAGTGAAGACCAGAGCTTAAGTCTGGCGCCTTAGACCGCTCGGCCATACTAACAATAGAAAAATATCCTTATGTAATTGCGATAATATTTACTCTTTATCCGTTTCATCGTCTTTCGTCTTTATTACAACTTTATTAATACTTGGTACAACGTACGATTCATCTTTAGTTTTGATCAACTTTAAAACTGTATTTAATAAACTGTCTAAAGAACTTCCTTTACTTGCCATTCCAGTGAAACGAATCCTAAATGACGAAACATTCATAGCCTGTGATAGGGGAGGGTTATCGTTAGCACCAATTGTTACATAATAACTATACAAAGCGGAAGCTGCATATCGTCTTTCAATTCTTAAGAATTTGGATGGAATATTTATTGGATTAGTAGATTTCCATCCCCCTATGTACTCTATTAACATTACATCGAACGAATGAATTGTATTAAACTTTAATTCGTATTCGTCCATCGTTAACGAATCGATACCACCATAAACCATAACTTGTAGGCGTTGCAGTACATTTCGCATTATTTTTAGTTTCGACAATCCAACCTTTACTTTGTCGTAGCCATAAAACAATTTAGATGTCGCATGCGAATTCAATTCGTACATGCATCTTTCTAGTACATGCATATTTAGCCAGGTTTCGTGGTTATCACAAGAGTTTATCGTCTCGTCGTCGAATAACGTAATCGATTTATTTAAATTTACGAAATTGTGTTCCAAATTCGCAGCCACGTGTAAATAAGTAACGTAATCTTCGCCACTATTTATAAAACGAATCATATCACCCTGCGAACCATGTATATACATATTGGGATCAACAAGTTTAAAACCATGTGGTGTTTCGCTACATATCGTCTTTTGATCAAATACATATTCCTTATCTCTAGATATGGATATCTTTAAATCATCACAATAACGTATTGCCTTGTAAACGGCAAATGGTATGTTGTCAAAATCATATATGACGTGTCTATATTCGCTACTGATTATTGCAGGACATGCAATTGTCATCGGAAAAAGAGAATATACCGGAGATCGTAAATAATTTACTGTAACTATACGCAATCCCGTTTCATTCGAAATTTGTGTTTTAAATAAGTATTTACAGATTGGCATAATGACTATATTACCCAACGATGTATTCTTCAGGGGGAAATCTACATTTGTGATAAAACTTTCAAATGTTTTAAAAATATTAGAATAATATTTATTATACACAATCATTAGACGAAATGCAATTCCCACGGCCGAGTAGTTTAATGGCTTCTCCATTTCCAGTAGTTTATACAAACTAATGTTACTGTTTTGGAGAAGTTTTACTTTTTATAACATCAAGCACCTGATAGAAGTCCTTTCCAAACGATGTAAACAACCAAATGCGCATTAGAATAAACAAACGTTCGTAAAACTCGGCGCCAGACTCTATAGATCCATGCATATAAGCCCACAGTGCAGTCAGGTTTTCTTCGTATCGCACAAAAGTTCTGGAATTTAAAATAGAACACATAATGTCTCTATGTACGGTCGGATGACACATGGTTAGGTTTGCAGTCGTCCTATTACTCATTTGGTATACGTAGTCTGGATCTTGCGATGCATCGAACATGCGCGCAATGTGATCTATGTGTAAAATTGGATTGAAATGATTATTCATAGAACTCCACCAAAGTAAAAAAGCAACACTCCACTCCGGATCTATACCAAGTTGGTTTTGCAAATCATCTATCAAACAATTAATCGACTCCAAAGAATCTTGTGCATAGTCGGTCCCTATACCCGTGTACAAATACTGAATGCTATAATCGCTTAGAGCGTATCTATCGCCATCGTTTGTATCTTGTACATAATCTTGACCGTTTATTGTAAGTATGTTTGATGTATCGTTGTCGACCAAGTCCGTACCTTTTATGAATACAGACATAAATGTAAAAACATCCATTTCAGTTTGTTCATCATTATTTTCGATGGCTATGTTTTTATAATCAACAATAACGTGAGCCATTTCCATTAAATAGGCCATTGTCATGAAATATCTGTTGCGATACCATTGCGCGCAACCATTTTTTTCAATTGTTTTACCGTAAATGTGCTCGTTAAGTAATCGCTCTAAAATAACAGAAGACAGAGTTGGTACATGCATCCTTAAAAGCATAAATCCTGCTTGATCATTTATACCAGCTGATGCGGGATCAAAAAACGAACGTGTATTTGTTAATGCAGAAATTTTACAACCAAACGTGAAGTTACGAAAATCCTTTGTATCGTTCGTCGTTATGGGATTAAATTTCACCTTTTCGTGTATACAATTAAAGAGTGCCCAAGGGGCATATGGAGACATATTTACATCAACTGTACCACACAGATTTCTTACCCACACTGGTAAGTTACTTTTAATTTCTGAGTGGGCATACAAAAACGCCAAAGCATTATTTCCACAAACGCAAACGCTAAAAGCTGCAGCAACGTATCGTAATAATTTTTCCAAATCAAATATTTTCATTCCTAATTCTATTTTCTTACATTCTGGATGATAATGCAAAACTACCAGTCTAATAAATTCCCATATAACAGGTCCTAAAGATACACTCATGCGATTTGTTGAACTAAAAAGCGCATCATCCGCAACTAAATTGTGTGCAACAAATAATTTTTCTTTATTTTTAAATCGTGCTAATCCGATGCGATCGTTTAAAGCAATCTGGTTGGGAACGAATCTGCTCCTCGTAGCGTACATAGACTCTGGAGTGTATACATTTTCATCCAGTTTACTCAATCGTATATCCATTGCATCTTCTATAATGTTGTAAACCTTCGCTTTGTAATTTTCATCTTCGTTAGGCCCATAAGCTGCATCTATTACCGCCTGCATTTGTTTCATAGTTCCTTCGTGCAAAACTTTTGCATTTTCTTGAATGTCTACAGTATGAAATTCGTCTTTATCGTCAACTACGATTTCCGTTCCGATTTTCTACCTTTATGTGACGACTAGTGTATAGAGTATTTCTAAATATTTGTTCGGACCAATATGCTAATATGTGTACACTTACGTCTAATACTGGTTCGTCGATTGTGTATACATTCATGACGTGGGTCTTTAATATTCGATTAAACTCTTAAATACATATGGTTGTAAGTTTAATTTCTATATATACACAAAAATAGGTAAACATGCGATCGAAAAACTTAGCATTACTTGCAATCGTAATATTAACAATTAGTAGAATATCTGTACTGTGTCACGTAGCATGTAATCACAACGACCCCAACGCTTTCGTACTACCAACAGTTACCAAAGAATATCCTTGCAAATCGTGTGATCTTGTTCTAGATGATATCCCTAGGTGTTGTTGGACGTATTCAAATTTATGCACTTACGAAACCAAATTTGCAATCATGACAAATAATACGCTAACCTACACTTTTGCGACTGATTTTTACAAGTTTCGAAATACAACAACACCAACTACATTTGTTTTGAATCGATATAACGGCGATACAAAATTGCACCTATGTACACTATCAAATACATACGAGGAAACGTTAACGGTTTATTGCATGAGAAATATATTTACAGATGAAATTATATATGCTACCGAAAAAGAATCAGAAATTCTATTTAATCCAAGTTTTTCGACAGTATGTAAACATTCCCCTAATTTAAATGCGCGTCGCATTGGACCATCTAGAGCTGGAAGGTGTCCTAATGGTATTAAATCACGTACATACGTTGAAGCCCCAGGCCAATACGAATTCTCGTGTCGAAACTCTGGTGTCTTATCGAAATTCAACGTTCCCGTAGCTAAAACGTATACCACTTTCGTGTCCGATTGTAGTCCAAGTGGAGACTGGGTAGTTCCCATTCCTCCTTACTGTGTAAGAGTGTGATACTATTTATTGAAATAAAAACATGCGTTTCGTTTATCTTATTTCCACGTTCGTCATTTTATATTCTGGGGACGCTGTGGAAATTCCAGATGTACAATTAACGACAAACCGCTTACCCATGTTAAACCAAGAATGTATTACACAGTCTTGTTTTTACTTCACAGAACATTACAATCAATTAATAACAGCGAAAAACGTGTCAAATACCAACTGGGAATTGAGCACAAATACTTGCAACGAAACAACACCTTTATTGGTTTTGGATTCATTAACAACTTATAATTTAATAAAGTTGGATATGAGTATCTTCAATTACGCATTTCTAAGTACAAACGATAGCCATTTTTTATTTCGAAAGTACGTTGATAACGGAGAATATTTATGTTCATTTTCGAATGAGACGTATTTAAGATTGGATTGTTTAACAAATAATGTAACTAACATTAGCGCATGGGGATCTCTAGAAGTTAATGGACTCTTAACAAAGCCCATATATTCTTACGGATGCTCAATTCCATATCTCAACCACACTGCTAAAAGTCGAGGTGACCCAACGTGTCTACAAGAAGGATTAACGTATAAAAATACCGCCGACATTAATTCCATATATGAATTTTCCTGCGTCAGCCCAAATCATGTAATACTATTACAAGGCGAGACATACGAATCTATTCGTAGTATATGCCTAGGATATGGTAATTGGGATGTTGATCTAAAATCAATACAATGTATAGAGAAATGCACTACCGACTCTCCAATAATTGATGAATTCGTTTATTACATTACTGAGAAATCTCCAAAGCATATGAAATTGCGGTGCATAGATATTACGAAACGCATTTCAAACGAAACGCTCATTTGTGATCCCGTCAGTGGTTGGAATGCGATACCACAGTGTATACCTAAAGAGACATGTTCTCTACAACCAGTAGTACCAATTCCCACACTGATACGAGACAAAAATGGGGGAATTTCTACTTTAGAGAATCAACGTCCACAAGTTCTATACACAAACGATGCATTCATCAATGAGGTGTACGATCCAGTTACGCGCTTGTCATATAAAGTGGAATGCGTTTCAAAGGACAATATTCATCCGAATTATTATAATAAGGCTTTAAATTATTTCGATCGCGCTAGAGTAAGTCAGTGGGCACCAGGACCCGTCGATATAGATGTAATGGCGGTTACTAATTTGGTAGATAACAAGTTTAACTATTTTGTGTCAATATCGGAAATACTCAATTCAACCACT